TCACTCTCATCAACAGAGACTTGTAACCAGCAGAGACAGTTCGGTGTAGCCAGCAATACATGTACATGCACATGGTGGCCAATGCCAGCCACAACTGTTCCCATGAGCGTCAGCATGATTTGCTGACGCCACTCCTAAAACGCTGACAGACGCACATAAGGCGGTTCAATGCGGGTCAAAAGAGGGTACAAAGTGTGTCACTTTACAGTTCTATTGCTGCAGCCTGGAAATAGCAAATGCTGGGCACCTACTTCTAGACGACAACGAAGGTAAAGATCGATTTTAGCAAGAACGAGTAGGAAATTGAAGGATATCTTGCTGTTATCGTAGCAGGGTGGACCAGGGTTGTGCATCTCGATGAAGTGAAACGCGTGATGGCTCATGATATCGATTCTTTCGATTATTTTACTTGATCGATTATTTAATATCTGTTGCTTCCGCATAAGTCTAATTTTTGGCCTATGGCGGAAAAGGGTTCCGGATTTTATCCGAAATAACTGGTTTATCAACTAGTTATTCAAGATGAAACATATACAGTGGGGGGAAATAAATATTCGTACACTTGAAAAATCGTATTTTAATGTATGTAAGTACACAAACTTAACAGGAAAAGTGATTTATAGGGTACAAAGTGTGTCACTTTACAGTTCTATTGCTGCAGGCTGGAAATTAGAAATTCTTGGCATCTACTTCTAGACGACAACGAAGATTAAGACCGACTTTAGCAAGAACGAGTAAGAACCTGAAGGATATCTTGCTGCTATCGCAGCAGGAGTGGACCAGAGTTGTGCATCTCGATGAAATGAAACACATGATGGCTCATGATGTCGATTCTTTACATTATTTTACTTAATCGATTATTTAATGTCTGTTGCTTTTCCATAAGTCTCTTTTTTGGCCCATGGTGGGAAAGGGTTCCGGATTTTATCCAAAATAACTGGTTTAACAACTAGTCACTAAAGTTAAAACATATAAGTTGTTTAGGTCAAAAGTCATAGACTTTTATTTCTCGAAATTTGCTCGTAATCAAACCAATAAATTAATTATAGCCCTTGGATGACAAATTTTTCATGCGCTGTGTGTGCAAGAAAGTAATCAATATCAGAAATGACCGAAATAAATATTCGAGACATAATTTGTAACTGATTTATGTTTCATTGCTACGAGTCCAGCCATAAGCGCAGGACATTAAAACTCTGTTTTAAATTCGATGGATAAGAGTGCAATAAAATGAATTCGGGTCGCTTGGACTTTTCAATCTGAAATTATATGGAACTATTTTTGCGTGACAACGAGAGGTTAAGTGCAATATCATCGTCCGCCTTCTTCCCCGGAGCGAATGACTCGGAAAAAAACAACCGAAACTGCAATTTGGCTGAGAGCTTTAGAGAGCTGTAAACGTGTTAAAATTTTATGGAATGAGCTTCACGCTCTTAGAATAAACGAGAGCTTAGCCAAGCTTCTCTGGTGCAATGCAAAGCGCGGACGGATCGGCATTGCTCAATTATCTCAGTTTATAATATGAATGACATTACAATTTTCCTCTGCACCTTTAATATTGAAATATGAGGCATTTTTAGTCAACCATTAGTAAAAAGACATCAAGCAATTTTCGAACTCATAACCTGGAAAATCAATAACATTGGTGAGAATTTAACGCTAAATGCAACAGTCAGGAGCCTCGTTACATGGATTTTACTTTGATTAAAATATTACTACATGTAGATTCAATTATCGTTGAATAATGAGTAATTTTGAAGGATGCTATTTGATGTTAGGTAAAGATGTTAACAGGGGGTCAGATTATATAGCAGCTGTGAACGTTTTTTCTGGAAATTTAACTGCAATGATAAGCTACGACTTATCATCTTATTAAGAGAGAAAAAGCTCTGCATCAATTTTTTTTTTTTGCATTTCCAGAATTGGGTGAAATTTTGGCTGTTTAAAAAACTGTTATTGTAATTGACAGACTGAAAAATATTTTATTTTAATTTAAACCAACTCATGAAATCATGCGACAACTTGTAACTGAGTTAGTTTAAACTAATTACGTTTAAACTAATTACTTTATTGATATCGCTCATCCATCCTAATTGATTGAAGTTAGAAGGTATTTCATGACAAGTTCATTTAATATTTATTATGATTTTATTCCATTTTTAGAAATTAATTCCGATCTGGTAAACCGTACCAGTGCATATGAAGCCTTTGAACATTATTTAAAGAAGGTTAATGAATAAACATGCGTTAGCTGGCATATATTGCATCTTCACTGAATTCTTCCAGCCATTTGTTAATTTCTTCCTTTCATCTGCAAATGTAAACACATTTCTGAATTCGCATTCTGAATTTATACCGAGGCTTTTGCAAAGACAAGGTTTCTAAAATCCTACAAATATCACCACCAGCACATGACGCCAGCTGTATTCACAGGACTGACATCAAATGCAGACATTTTCTGGAAATGCCCATTCCCTCCAGCCGAGTTTTGAGCGCGCTGGCGACATGCCGATTTTAGGGTATTTCCCTACAGGCTACAGGCGTCGAAGATTCATGCGAGTGACATGGCTGCGTGTCACGCGAACTTTTAGGGTAATAAATGCGCAGCAGAGACAAGAGGGGAATAACTTCTCGGCAAACATTGAACCTTTTGCTTCGGTTCGCTGGAGTTCAGTTCACTCGTGGCTCAGTAAATGATGAATGCGGTGGTCAGTGCAGTGAGCATTGAGTGAGTGAGCACTGTGTGAGTGATCACCGTGTGAGTGAGCATCGTGTGAGTGAGCATCGTGTGAGTGAGCATCGTGTGAGTGAGCATCGTGTGAGTGAGCACCATGTGAGTGAGCACCGTGTGAGTGAGCATCGTGTGAGTGAGCATCATGTGAGTGAGCGATCGTGTGAGTGAGCATCGTGTGAGTGAGCATCGTGTGAGTGAGCATCGTGTGAGTGAGCATCGTGTGAGTGAGCACCATGTGAGTGAGCACCGTGTGAGTGAGCATCGTGTGAGTGAGCATCATGTGAGTGAGCGATGTGTTAGTGAACATTGTGTATGTGAGCATCGTGTTAGTGAGCTCCGTGTGAGTGAGCTTTTTATGAGTGAGCATCGTGTGAGTGAGCCTTTTATGAGTGAGCAATGTGTTAGTGAACATTGTGTGAGTGAGCATCGTGTGAGTGAGCCTTTTATGAGTGAGCAATGTGTTAGTGAACATTGTGTATGTGAGCACCGTGTGAGTGAGCATTTTATGAGTGAGCATCATGTAGCTGAGGGGTCATGGGGTAGCAAGGCTTGCAGGCGATGCCGATGAATTCACAGATTTCCCCCGAGCTTCACATACGCAACGTGCACACTCACGACACTCGCATGCTTCGGTGTTGCATGAGTGAATGTTTTATTGCTCACTGACGCGCGAAATTTAATTTAGGTGTTACCTGAGTTAGGATACAATGTTTACTCTTAAAAAAATTGCAATTACATTTTATGAAATATCATTCTTTTAAAGATATAAAGATATCACCTATATTTCGAAGGGTTAACTCGTACAATTACCACAGACTAATTAATTTCCGAGTTTTGAATCTAGCATTAGCTTCTTCCAGTCGTGATTTTAGTTTTCTCGATCATTACAGTCGGTCTGTATTACTTTACCTACATCTTGATGCAACTAATTTCAGTATTTAGTACCAATTCTGTGCATTTCGTTTCGAGGTTTAAGGGGACCATATATATGGGCAAAAATATTTTAACTCTATTTGAACGTTATTGTCATAATAGCTCTTGGGAACATATAATGCAAGGTAGCTCAATGGAGGGCACAGGTATATTATATTCCAACGCACAGAGCTTTTGAATATATTGGGCCATTTCCGATTAAAAATCTGTGTGCATGCACTGTACATTACTGTGCTGTACTGTACTGTACGATTACTGTACTGTACGATGTTATTTCCGATGCACTGTACATTACTCAAAAATATAACTCAGTACTCACTGCAGTGAGTGACAGAGAGCGCATTTTCTCGTTGACGAAAATGTTAAGTCACGGACGGACAGACAGACGGGCGGACAGACAGACGGACGGACGGACAGACGTATGGATAGACGGGCAGACGGACATGGCGAGCACAATAGTGCATTTTTCCATAAATGAGAAAATGCGCTAAAAATGGTGGCTGCGATCAAATCTCTTAGACCGAAAGTTATAAAAGAAATACCGTCCGAAATTGAAATTCAAATCTAATCAAGGTACTATTAAACAAGAAAGAAACATTTTTTTTGCATTAAAATTTTATGCTTAAATGTAAATGATTTACTAAGTGCTCATTTTTATGTATAATTGATTTATCTTGTAGTAATATTTAGAAGTCTGATGATTAGTGTGTTTTCAACAACTGTTTAATTATGTTTAGTTTGGTTTCTTGTAGAATGCACGTCTCGACGCGATTCATTGATCCAAATTATCTCGGCAATCAGAAGCAAAGAATTTATTTGCGCAGTGAAATTAAAAAAGATTTGCATAATATAATTTGATTTCGAGTGTACGACAAATTTTATCTGTATTTAAACATGAAAAATTCATCCGCTCTGATTTCAAGATTTGGCCGTATTATCAGGCTCGGCCGTATTATTTTAATTATTTTTTTATTTAATTCAAATCATGAATTGAATTTATTTTGTAATGCACAAATTTTTCACGAGCGTTTCAGATTCATTAAAGCTGTTCTGAATTTTCCGTTGCCAGTGGACATGACATGGGTGCTTGCGTACGCTTCAAATTACGACTTAACACTAATGTTTTTTTCACAAAAGCAGTTAGATGAAGAAAAAGTAAGTTTTCAGTTCCATGACTTCAATTTATCTGGAGTTAAAGAAATAAAAGGTGAAAACTTTAATCAAAGGAGGTAAAAGCCAGCCAGCTTTCAAGATATGAGTGTTACTATCGTCAGATAATATCAAAACAAGCTTTACTTGAGTGTACCGAGACATGATCCATTTTGCTACTCACCTTTTCGCCGCTGTAGAGTTTGTATACACGCCACTCTGTGAAGCCAGGTCTCCAATACTCCAGCAGGAATGTCTTGACGAACTCCACTCCAACGCCGTTACCGAAGCGACCCTGAGTCTCCACCGCAGAGATCATATGCATGGAGATGAGGTCGATCTCCAGGTACTGCTTCACCGAGTCGTTCGAACCAACAGGCTCTCGTGGACACCAAGCACCACCGTGGCGGTTAACGTTCAGCCTGAGAAGTAGACGTTATACCCTGAGAATATTTTTCAATGTATTTATTTTACTTAAGAGGTTAATATTTTGTCGCTATGATTGGAGGTGTTTTTTCGTGGTTTTCACCATGCCTTTGAAATAGAGCTGTTGAAATTCGGATTGAAATAGGACTATTTTTCTAGAACTTCATGTAATTTAAATTGGAAAGTATACAGCGGTATACTTTCAAAAATTCAGTGGTAATAAGTTGATGGCTGATTTGAACTTTCTATGAGTACCATTTGCGACACTAACATGTCGTTAGTAACGTTGGAAGACAAATTCAGGTTTTGAGAAAATCACGTATATTGATGAGTGATGGACAAGCGAGCCAGAGTGGGAAGAGAAGGTTCAAATATTTACGTACCTGCCAGAAGCTGGTCCGGTGATGGTGATGTCATACGAGGAAGAAGCTGTGATCTGCTTATCCACAATGGCTCCTGACTCCATCCCCAGCGGCGCAGTGCATTGTTCTGGAGAAAGAGATAAATGGTTTAATTTTAATGGAGTGAAAATTAGGTCCAGAAATTTCCGCACGCGTGTCAAATCGTACAGTGAAGTAAAACCGTCCACTACCGTTCACTACTGCTATGCTTCCATCAACATACGCAAAATATTTAAACCTAGTGTAAAATAATTATGGACTGAATGAGATGAAATCACAGTTGTGGAAGAAGAAAGATCGTGAACTTTCTTTGCGATTATGTTTAATGTGCAGATTTTCGTATGCTCACTAAAGTGTTCATGGCACGGGGGCATGGACTGTAGCTGAGAGCCGTGACGTTGAGGGTAACAAGATTAATCGAGAATTAATTATTTAATCTAATAATTAATAGTAGAGAATTAATCTAGAAAACACCAGAATTGCGAATCAAATTTATTAAATTGATCGTGCTATATATGCAGGCTGAGTCATTTTTAGCACATATTTACTAACTTTTAAAAAATTCTTAAGGGATGCCGATATCAAGGGCCCAAATTATTCGCAAGCAGTTGGTCACGGCGTCAGAGGGAAGGGGCAATGGAGATCGGGAGGCCGTTTGCAGAGCCGTAACTGGGGCCCGAGTAGGGGCGCCAGTTTGTCAGTTTACAGAACGTGCCTCGAGGCCCTCATTTGCGCTCACAGCCGAGCATTAAAGTGGCCGAACACCAGGCAAAATTAGGGCCCTTCACCTGGGACCAGCGTTGGCATGGCCAGAGCATAACTCACGGCCGCCAAAATTTACTGAGTGACTTGACTTCAAGCAAACCCGTATCTAGGAACTGGATTGTGAAAAATGTTCTCTTTAATGTAAGTGCATTCATCATCATAATACCCGTACCATCAACTAATTATATTAGTTTTAAACTTCAAGCCGATATTTACAGCCCGGCTAGGGTATGATCGAGTTTCAAACAAACTGACGCCACAGTGAGTTCTGGTAAACTGATGACCGCTTGAGGGGGGGTGTTGGATATCTGATATCTCATCGACGCGCCCGGACAAATTTACGGCAATCACTGAACATCGATTAATTATAAATAAATAGAAATGAATAAGTGTGAACAGGAAAAACAAAACAAACTTTTCGAACAAAAATGCTGCTCAAATAAAAGCTTTTTTTTTAATTGTCATCTTTGCGTTTACATAAAAAACTTAAATCAATCGAAAAAGTATCATTCCGATAATTCCTGTAAGTATTAATCCTACAAAGATAAATGTAGTTGGTTCATCGCTCAATATCCATTTATATTTATGTGTATATACAAATCGAAAGCTCCTAATATTTTGTATACGTGGGGTAAATTATTCGAGGGAAAAAAATTCTGCCAAAAATATAAATTATGATCAATTGAACATCCTATACATTTAAATGGTGGACTTGAATGATATCTATTATGTGCTTGAATCAATCTACTTATAAATATAAACAGCGATAATTGTATGTTCCAGTGTATTACTCTTTGCTTATCTGACATGTGTTGTAAATTAAGTCCCATCTCCAGCCCTATAGCTGGAGCATATATTCTTTATTTTGGCCATCTTTGTTATTTACAAACAAAAGTCTAAAATGTTTTAGCCCTTCTTCCACGAGTCGCCCTCAGAAAATGAGGGACACATCTGATTGCCGTCTAAATGCTGAGTCTGAATGGACCTCGGGAAGAACCAAGTCTCTGGAGTTTGCTGGCGAGGCAGAAACTCTACGGATTTCACCATCACGTTGTAGGAGCGTGGTTTCGTGAGATCAGAGATGCACTGAGAACGTGTTGATTTTCGCTTAAAATATATGGTCTTATTATGATGAAGGAACATCATATATTGTCTCGTTATTTTGTTATATATTATATATATTTCATTATAAATATACTTTCTTATTAGTTTCATAACGAAAAATGAAGGAATAGAAACATATGTACATCAAAAAGTGTTTGATAGCTCAATATTTTTAGCCAAATATTTACAAGTTATTTCTGCTCAAACAATGTCACTGAATTAAACGGGATGCTATGAAATTTGATTTTCTATATAATTTGTTCATAACAAATCAGGGCATCGGTTGACCTGTTCTTATTTGCCATTATTTTCGTGGTCATATCTGTTCGGTTGCGCTAATTTTGGAAAAATTGTGCTTATATTTCGCAGAATTTTCATTACAAATACATTGTGTTTCTCTGCTGGATTGCTCCAAATTTACCAGATTGCAGTCTTTCAAAGCAAATGAAGGTAAATGATTGAATTGCTTCTATTTTTGGGGCAAGTCAATTCAAAGCTGTCGTCGGTACCGCTTTCTGTGGGAAGAGACAAGCCTGCCGCTGCTGCTGAAAGCCTGGGGCTCTTAGCTCCCATTAGTCATCTAACGTTGAATCCACGTTGAATTAAACGTTGTTTCGTTAGATCATCGTAATTCAACATTGTTTCAACGTCATTCTCGCAGTGGGAAGGAACTGTTGCCGACCGGTCTGGGCTTTTAGGCTCCACCATTACAACGCCCAGCAATGAAGTATGGTCCCTCAAGTCACACCAAGGAAAAATTACACGCCAAAAATACACTCAGATGGAGATGTTTTGAATGCTTTTCTCGGGATCAGGCCGGGCTGTATGAGCTGATCAAACCTTAATAAGACGGCTGTCCAAATAGCGTCACACAATGGCCCATCTTCTGATCGAGCTTCAGGATATTCTTCGCAAATAGTGAAATAAAATGCATCCACTGCAGGGGGGAGTCAGACGTGGACTGAAATTTAAAGCGGTCTTGTTGCTAGGTTATATCGTAAATGAGGTTTGTTAGGACATGGCGCTCAACATTTTACGTTTCACAGAGTTGCACGAGATCAAATTTCTCTCAATTATCTTATGAATGTCGGAGAGTTTCACATCACATTTGTAATAAGTTCTCCTTTCAAGCTGTCGAGGCTTCAATTCTTCAGGACAAATTGAAAATCGACCAAGCTGTTGGGAAAGATCGTGCAGGTTAACAATTTTTCGAATAAAATATAGCATCAAATTATCAGCTTTATTCCTGAATAAGGAAAAGCAATTTTCAAGCAATAATATCAAAATCTTGTACGAAGACAAAGTTTAGGTTGAAATCCTATAACCAACCGAGTTATAGGCCTCCAACACTCTATATCCGCTTGAAAGTTACATCGGCAAATTCAAGAAAAGATTCAGAAATTCAATACTTTAAAATCATTGCTGCAGTTATAGTCAGTAAACATCGTAAAATATAAATACATAAACTCTAACATCAAATAATATATCGGTTGAAATTATTTTGGACGAATACCTCATTTTTAGCGCATTTTCTCATTTATGGAAAAAAGGCGCTATTGTGCTCGTCATGTCCGTCCGTCTGTCCGTCCGTCCGTCCGTGACTTCACGTTTTCGTCGACTAGAAAATGCGCTCTCTGTCACTCACTGCAGTGAGTACTGAGTTATATTTTTTCAAAAGTATGGCGGAGACGAGTTTCAGTAGAGAATGAAATTTCTCTTCATCACGAACTATTGTTCAATTCAATCAATTAAAATGAATTTCTTAATTAGCAGAAATCGATTCATGCCCGTTGTCATAAACTATGACGCAGCTAAATGAACCCGAAGTGACTTCACTCAAGCTCGTTAATACAATATTATCTTCATTAAGAAATTGTTCCCCAAAGCCAAATGTAGTTCACTCAAACTCGCCATCTTTGAATTCCTGTTTTTCAAGCAATAAATGGGATCATTCATACAAACTATATTCTTAAAGTAAAGTTCTCGAGTTCTTAGCACCATAGAAGGAAATTCGATTAAGATCGATGCATTCCATGAATCTTAGTTCAAAGAATTTTAAAGTTAGTTCTTTGAGCATGAATGTAGTTTCAAATACTACACTTTTTTCAATAAAACGGTATGTTTATTCCCCGATGAAAGCAAGCCTCAAGTTGGTGGCCTACAGTGCAGCAGAGCGTCGTGCTTTTGTGGCATGGAAGCCTCGGTCCGGCTGCTGCTTTTGATCAAATTCTTGACGCCTGAATCCGAATTTTATGGGACCTGAATTTCTTGAGGATTTTCATGCGCGGTCAGGATCTTGGAATTCTCCACCATGCATGAGGCTTCTTGAATAAAGAATCAGGCAAACATGATCTGACAAACATAATGCTTTGACTGCCTTCAATCATTGTTCAATGATTTTTTTAAATAAAAAACGAATAAGTTTTTCTGCCTGTAATAACTATTCGTATATTATACTAGTCTTTCAAGATATTTTATTTTATTTATTACTAAGTTCATCTTAGTTCAGTGAACGATTCATGAATTTTATTTTGACACAAGTATGCGTCTGTTACAGAAACTTAAATCAATTTAAAATTTATAAATTATAAAATGGGGCTCTAATTTTGCTCTAATTTTATGCGATTATCTTTAAACATATGTAAATAGGTACTGAAAAGTAAGTAGTTTACTGTTACCTAGCTGGGCACCTCTTATTTTCCAGTAAACCACACTGAAGAGTGTGATGAAGTGGGAAAACCCTACCACAACAATTAATGGGGAAGTTCTCAAGTTAAAAATGTGCATTAATATGTGGCCCAAATAGCATAATGCACTCGAGCATGTCTGTACTCTAGGTTTTCGTCAGTCAGTGTAACCTAATCCAGCGGTCGCCCCTTGCTCGGGACAAATCAAGGACCGAATACGACTGCAGCGCCCAGCCCTTGATAGTCTTTTTTTTCTTGCTGGAGCTTTAAGGGTCTTGGCGAGAGGTTTTCTTTGCTCTCCTTAGCACTGGACCTTGTTTGAAGAAATTTGTCAGGGTCGGTCCCCGAGCCAAGCCCCGTCACGTCTAATCAGCTCCTACAAATCTGGCAAGTCCCCCAGGGTGTCACCGCTGTCGTCTTGCGCAGCCAGCGCCCACACTCTGCTCCGAGACACTCTAGAATATCTACTGTAATATCACTACTGATAAGAAGAGTGAAGGCATCTTATTTAAAATCCATACAACGTGAATTA